AGGAAGAGTGCTTGGGAGAGTCCTCCCATATCTAGATGAATGAGTGAATGGCCCTTTTCTTCTTGTCTTCTCCTCCTTTTATAGCTAAGCCCATCCCAAAAGTGTCCGTTGGACCATTTAGTAGGGTAGTTAATAGGTATTAACTTGGTTATTAGTGGGATAATAAGTGGGAGACTTAATAGGTAGCCTTTATTTGGGGGGTTATGGATGAGGTAGATAAATAGGGTAGTAAATAGGACTTTAAGGGTAGATAATTAGGAGTTTAATAGGGGCTAATGGCTAGTTTTAGGCCGACCTTCTATTCGTGCCGATCCCACACTCGCGCCGACTCCCGGGTCGAGCCGACTCCTCGGTTTGGCTTGTATCTCTTTTGGGCTTGCTCCATTTTCTTCTTGGTCTTCCCTTCTTTGTCTGGGCTTTATCTCTTTTCTTCTTGGGCCCCGAGCCCACGGGGTTCACACCCCATCATGCCCAATCTCTTTACACTTGTAGCACCGAATTTTCTTGCTATTTCTGAACTTAGACCTAGAGTTTCACTTTCGAGAATTATCCATTCTCGCTTCCTGACTCTCCTTAACATACAAATTTTCACTAGATCATTCTCCTTTCTGCATACACTTGTTATGAGCATGCAAGTGTTGACCATATAACCATTAATGTGCAATCCAACTATCAGCTTAGATTTTTATTTGAGACGGAGCACATGCTTTAATTTGGTATCAGAGACAGACCAAAGATCATGGGTTCGAATCTCTACGTCACCCGATAAGCGATTGCTTGGAACTCACCTTCGTCACCCGATAAGCGATTCCACGTGTTGCTTAGAACTCACCGCACGGGGACGTGTTGAGCATATAACCATGCGCATGCTTTAATTGCAGGGCTGAAGAGATCTCATTATATTTTATCGTGTCTTTCTCGTATGTAAAATAGTCACCAATGTTCAAAGGAAAGAGATATCTTTCTCGTATGTAAAATTGACACCAATGTTCAAAGGAAAGAGATAATGGACATAGCAAGATCATCTTCTTGTCTTCATCTCCAATTTTAACATGCCAGATATGAAATTATCTAGTTGAAGACATTAATATGATGCACCAAGTCTAAATTCTCCCGCATTAAGCTCATAAAGCCTTTTTTTTTTTTGTTTTTTGTTTTTGCCCAATAAAGCCTTTGCTTTAGATAAAGTTTGTTCATTAAAAAATTTTCTTATGAACTGAATTTCCAATTCATTCCATATTTCTTTTGGGGTTTCTAGGGCCATAACGTGATAAACAATTTTATCAGGCATAACCGAATGATTCCTACTCCCTCCTTCAAATCCTCATCCTTCCAATCCATCTCTCCTAGATGAGTTTTCAGACGGCCCTGTTGTGCCAAAAATCCTTTACCTTAGACTGCCATAACTCAAAATTCTATGTAACATCAAACTTTGATACCTCGAATTTTGTAATTAAACTGATCATCTCAACAGTGTTCTAATACCAATTTGTTGAAATTAACATGAACAATAAATAATAATAATGACAAAAAAAAAGTAAATAATGCATGATTTATATGGTACGGCTATGTACCTACGTCACAAAGTGAAACTAATCTTTAATTCATAGTGATTATGATGGTGGTGATACTATACTTTAGGATACAACCAATGTATCCTTGTACAATAGGTATAACCAAATTACATATTAAAGTTATTTAAAATACAAGTACTAAACTGTAAAACGGACTTACAAAATTCATTATCAAAACTAAAAATATGTAGAAAAAATCTTAAAAGAAAAAAGTAACAAAATGAACAATAAAAAGGGGAAAATAATGCAAAGAAAAAATCAAAATTCAAAATAAAATAAAAGAACTAAGTGTCCGTTTGGAATCAATTGGGCAACGAAAAAGAGACTCAATTGGGCAAAAAGTATCTTTCTAATTTTTTAGTCAAAAAACATATATATATATATATATATATATATATATATATATATATATATATATATATATATATATATATATATATATATATATAGATTTAAGATCATATGAGAACACTTGCTTAGGTGAGAACGTGAGAACAAATCGTGTACATCCATCTAATATTTTTTAATGGTCTAGATTAGATGAAGTGTGTGCAAACGCGCATTAAATGTGTGCAAACGCGATTAAGTGTGTTTGCACACATTTAATGCGCGTTCGCACACACTTAATCTAATCTATACCATTAAAAAATATTAGATGGATGCACTTGATGTGTTCTCATGTTCTCACCTAAGCACATGTTCTCACTGGAACTCTACCCTATATGTTCTCACCTATATATATATATATATATATATATATATATATATATGATGGGGTGTGAACCCCATGGGCTCGGGGCCCAAGAAGAAAAGAGATCAAGCCTAAGAAGAAGAAGCAAAGCCCGAGAAGAAAATGGCGTAAGCCCAAAAGAGATACGGGCCAAGTCGAGGAGTCGGCGCGAGTGTGGGATCGGCACGGGTAGAGGGTCGGCCTAAAACTAGCCGTTAGCCCCTATTAAATTCCTAATTATCTACCCTTAAAGTCCTATTTACTACCCCACCATTCCTAACCTCCCACTTATTACCCCATCTTATTACCCCATTATTATTATTATCCATAACCCCCTAATTATCACCAATCACTACCCTACTAAATGTCCAACGGACACTTTTGGGATGGGCTAGCTATAAAAAGGAGGAGAAGACAAGAAGAAAGGGGTCACTCACTCATACACACATGGGAGGACTCTCCCAAGCACTCTTCCTACACACTTGAAGATTACTATCATTCTGTCACTCACTACTCTTTCTCTTTTAAGAAGACATCATTCATTCATACATACAAGCACTCTTCCTACACCACTCTCCCAAGAGAAGGCAATTCATATACACAACAAAAAGATTATCAAGAAGACTCCATTCTACCACAAAGAAGCATACCCCATCTCTATATACAAAGTATAGCTCCTTCCCTACACAATATTTCCATACTACATGTAGAAAATAGCTCTACAATATGTACAAAGATACCTGCAAAATGCATAGTGGAGTTAGGCTTGGCACCGCCCAAAAAGGCCCGTGATTTTCCTTTCGGTTTTCACGTACAAAAAGCATGGAGTTATATTCGTTCTATTTATTTTTCTATAAGCCGCATGTGAAAGGTGAATCCACCGACCAAGGTTGTGTTGGACCTCCTTGGGCCCGAAAACCTAAAAACCAACAATTATATATATATATATATATATATATATATATATATATATATATATATATATATATATATATATATATATAATATTATTATAATATTATTATTATAATAATAATATATAATATATAATATAATATAATAATAATATTATAATAATAATAATAATAATAATAATAATAATATAATAATTAATAATTAATAATAATAATAATGATGATGATTAATAATAATTGTTATTGTTATTGTTCTTTACTTACTATTACTAACAGAGACCACCACACCACAAGACACCACCACACCACAGCACAACCATACCATCACCTCCAACACCACACAACAACACAAACCCAACCATCACCACCACAAATGATATGATTACGATAATTGATCCTAAAATATCTTTATTATTAGAATTGATTTATTATTCTAACTTAATTTCTTTCTTGCTTGTTATTTTTATTAGAAGGTTAACTAAAACATAAAAAGAAAAAACAATCAATAAAGTTCTTTACCATAATTATTTGATTGCTCTCAAATTAGACATCCTAAACAACCTCTAATAACTCTAATTGCCTTATAACGCGTACGTTTGTCCATGAACATAACAACCACCAACCACACGACCATACCATACCACGATCATCACAACACAACCAAACTATCACCACCACCGCTACACCATAACATCACCACACAAGTCCACAACACTAACACATACAATAATAATAATAATAATAATAATAATAATAATAATAATAATATTATTATTATTATTATTATTATTATTATTATTATTATTATTATTATAGTATAATAATTATAATAATAATAATATTATTATTATTAGCAAATAATGTGTTCTTTTTAACCAAACAAAAAAAAAAGTTTTTGACATTTATCCACACACAAAAATTAAAAAATTAGAACATTTTCCAAAAATTAATTAATTATTTTCTGAAAACCATTATGTGAAAAACAATTTCCAGATTTTCAAAAAGACCTTAAATATTCTTAATAAAATACCTACAAAAATCATTTCAAAAATATGTCCAAAATTAACTTTAAAAATGCACAATGAAAACTAAAAATACTTAGAATATTAAAAAAACAAAATAAATAGGGAGAATCACGTGCGGCCTTCCTATTAGGTGTGGTAGGTCTTTGCTGTGTATCCGGGGTCTCACCCTTCCTCTGTGTGTGTGTATAGGTGTATCCGGGGTATCCGCGGCCTTCCACACACACACACGTCTCACCCTTCCTATTAGGTGTGGCCGTGCGGTCAATTTAGGTCCATTAGATGAAAACAAATCAACGCACCGGATTGCTTCTTCGCCGAGGATTGCACAAATCAACCGTAGTGCATATTTCTTTGCACGAGACCACACTCAAGCAACTCCGTTCTCTGTTGCATTCTTATATGTAATCTGTGCAATCTCATTCACTTCGTTCTAACAATCTAGTGCATTGATTTGTTTTCATCTAATAGACCTAAATTGACCGTGCGTGATCCCCTAAATTGACCGTACTAAAAAATTATTTGGGAACAAAATTCTATGACCTGCATCATGATCACACAACAAATGGGAAAAAGAACCCAGCTTTCCTAATTTTTATTTCCTCTACAGTTCTTCCATTTAGTAGAAGAATTCAAAGTGAAAATGATTTTGCCAAACTATGTAATTAGATGAAGATAATACCATAGTGTGATTAAAATAAAAAAGTTAACAGAGAAGTATACCTTTCGCCCTTTTTGGTTCTTCCCACTTTGACATCCGTGTTCCAAGATCTTTAGATAACAATACAAGGATAGAAGAGCTTCTCAGCTCCCATAGGATAATACTGTTTATACAAATCAATAATACTCAAAATTCCAAAAGGAAGCTCCTCCCCACTAGCTTGCACTAAGACCATAACATAATCTGTTCAGCTTCAAAAGTGGCCAAGCAAGTGAATCTTTATCAACTTTATTACATTGACTAACATTATAGATCACATCATCCAAAGCATGGAACACGGCAGGCAGTGCAACGGCGGTTCTCACAGGATCGGCAGCTAAGCATATGTCAATCCTACCATTTATGCCCAAATCACTCTTCAACGATAAAGCTTTGAGTAATTGAGTAAAAGATGGCAGCATCTTATTGACAAAATATAGGGAACTATCTGAAACAGAGTTTAAAGAAGTTTTCCTGTGTCTAAAAGATTTAAATTACCTCGGTGTAGCAGTAAAGGGTTCAAACAGGTAACATAGTTGTGGGCTCCTAATGCAAAAGTAGCAAAGAGTCGGCAATGGAAAATTGAAGCAGTGGAGAGCCAGCGATGGAGGATCAAAGCTTGGTGATGAAAGATCAAAGCAACGGAGAGTCAGCGATGGAAAGTGGGATATAGCTAAATACGTAGAGAGAAGCAAGGTATGAAATTTAGGTAATGGCTTAAAATGGAAAGTGAGATAGCTAAATCCGTAGCGACCTAGGTTTAAGGAGTTAAGCGACCCATAAATATCTCCAGCAAAGTAGTCTGACCAGCACAGAATATGCACATTGCTGTTGCAAACTACTTGGATAATCTCAAAGGCCACACTCATTACACTGGTATTGAATTCACTATTGCTGATGTAAAGAGGGTCAATGGGGTTACCTTAGTCTTGAAAGGTTCAACTAGTTGAAAAACCAACACATCCCTAACAATCAAGTTGTGCTCCAGGGGAAAACCAACACATCCCTAATAATCAAGAATTTTCATATTAGAAGAGAAGTCTGATCAGAAGATTATGAAAAAAAAATAAAAATACCAATATTCAGAAAAGAACTCTTAGCAAAATACTTCATCAATCAGTATAGACTCCTCAAACATAAGAGATTATCTAGCAAAAAAATTGAACAAACAAAATAGATATCATAATCATAATAGAATGTCACAACTCACAACTAAAGAGAAGACCCTCTACAAGAAAAGTCCCAACAGAAGACTTGTTCAACTACAAAAGACAGTTTGGTAGAAAACCCAAACAAGCAGAAGAAACAAGCCACCATAAGAGTTACAATGCCAGAAGAAACAAACTAAACTGTCAAGATCAGAAGATCATACTTTCAGAAGAGATAGGGCAATTTAGAGAAATAGGAGAGCTATATATACCATTAGTTACGGAGAGAGTGACAAAGAGAAACGAGATTTGAGAAAAGATATATAGCAAGTAGGGCTGTAGGGGTTATAAACAAGAAAATTTAACTAATTGAGTGGCCTATTTGGGTTGTTGGCTTTTACTCATTCTACAGTTCCAATATATTTATTATCTATATTAGTACAAACACACAAACTGCAAAAAGATTTAAATTACCTCGGTGTAACAGTAAAGGGCTCAAACAGGTAAAATAGTTGTGGGCTCGAAATGCAAAAGTAGCAAAGAGTCGGCAATGGAAAATTGAAGCAGTGGAGAGCGGACGATGGAGGATCAAAGTAACAAAGAGTTGGTGACGAAAGATCAAAGCAACGGAGAGTCGGCGATGGAAAGTGGGATAGCTAAATATGTAGAGAGAAGCAAGGTATGAAATTTAGGTAATGGCTTAAAATGGAAAGTGAGATAGCTAAATATGTAGAGACCTAGGTTTAAGGAGTTAAGTCACCCATAAATATCTCCAGCAACTTATAACGTAGTCTGACACGCTAACAGCACGGAATTTGCACATTGCTGATGCAAACTATTTGGATAATCTCAAAGGCCACACTCATTACACTGATAGTGAATTCACTATTGCTGATGTAAGGAGGGTCGATGGGGTTACCTTAATCTTGAAAAGTACAATTAGTTGTGCTCCAGGGGAACCTCTCCCATCCTGCACTCAGGAAACGCTTTTCGGCAAGGTACATGGCCTCCATTTCTTTTCCATTTTCATCCACCAAAGTAATAGCAACCTCGTGGTTTGACAGATGAGAAGTGCAGAAATCTTTTGGCAGACCCTATAATTTGAGAATGCACTGTGATAATTTGGCAGTGTTGTCACCTTGTTGTGGTAAACCCTCTGGAATAACAGAAAAGTTAAGGTTCGTTCAGTCCTTCAAAATATTGATTTGTAATTCCTTCTATCAATATTACTAAATGCAAAACAAATAAGGAAAACATACCAGTTTCAATTGGCTGCGCAGAATGACTTAAGTTCAAAAGACTGATAGCACCAGCAATGCCTGTTGAGTCATTTGCCTTAATAAAGTACACCAAAAACAAGTAATGGGAGTGAAAAAATAAGGCGAATCCAGAATAATTCCAGAAAAATAAGGGGAATTCACTACTGCTGAAATGTTCAATAGTTGAAAAACTAAGCCATCCCCAGCAATCAAGTTGTGTGCCATGAAAAAACCTCTCCATCCTACACTCAGGCCATGCTTTCCACACGGTACCTGATCTCCATCTCTTGTCCACTTTAATCCACCAAAACAATAGCAGCATCTTGGTTTGGCAGATGAGAAGTGCATAATTCTTTTGGCAGACCTTATCACTTGAGAAGGCACGGTTCATAATTTGGCAATACCAACTAACAACATGCTAAGATTACTTGATTTAACACCCAAGAGATATGGTCATGCAGGCTTACCAACCAAAACCCACCAGTAACATGAGAATGGAGCATGAACATCACTATACTAGGAAATTCAAGTGAAAGATTTTGCTTGAAGTTCTTGTGCTTTCCTCATAGCCAAGGATTTTTCATCAACACAGCCATAGCCTGTTCAAATTCTGCCAAGAAACATTGCACTGGTTAACACAATTCAAATAAGCTAAGCTGGAAGTTGTAGAATCTCAAATGAACCTCTTTGACAGAAGAATGTGACTGAAGAAAATAGAGCATGTAATTGGTTAACAAAATTCAAATAAGATAGAAGTTTCCGAACCTAAAATGAACTAACTTGCAAGAAGAATATGACACAAGAAATAGTGAAATACAAAATGAGCAGTACGTATGTAGTACAAAATCAACCAGTAATATTTGTTGGGTCATTTGCCTTAACAATGTGCACCTAAAACGTAACAAGGAAAGGGAGTGAAAAATGAGGCAAACTCATTTTGTGTGCAAGGTACCTGTTCTCTGTTCCTTTTTAATTTTCATCCACCAAAACAATAGCCAAGGATTTTACATCAACACAGCCAAACTCCCTCTTAACAACTTCACCTTTAGCCTGTACAAATACTGCCAAGAAACATTGCACTGGTTAACACAATTCAAATTATAAGCTGGAAGTTTTAGAATCTAAAATCAACCAATTTTCCAGAAGAATGTTACTGAAGAAATACAACATTTCATTGCATAACAAAATTCAAATAAATTGGAAGTTGCATTTGCCAAAATAATATGTCAAAAGAAATACAATAGGAACAGTACGTACATAGTAGAAAATCAACCAGCAATGTTTATTGAGCCATTTTCCCAAAAAATATACACCTGAAACAAGGAAAGGGATTAAAAGTGAGGTAAATTCAGATTAGTTCCTTCAAGGCAGAAGATAAGTGCCCCAAAAATATATCCGGCAGCTTATAACTTAGTCTAACACCCAAACTGCGTGGCATTTGCACATTGGTGTTACAAATTACTTGGCAAATTTCATAGGTCACAATCATTACACGGAGTGAATTCACTATTCCTGATGTACGGAAGACTGATTGGATTACCTTAATCTTGAAATGTTCAATTGATTGAAAAACTAAGACATCCTCAACAACCAAGCTCTGTGCCGAGGAAAAACCTATCTATCCTGCACACAGGCCACACTTTCCGACAAGGTACCTGGTCTTCATCTCTTGTCCACTTTCATCCACCAAAATAATAGCAACATTGTGGTTTGGAAAATGAGGAGTGCAGAATTCTTTTCGCAGACCCTATCATTTGAGAAGGCACAGTGATAATTTTGCAATAACAAGATGCTTAGATTACTTGAAACACAAAATCATTTTTAAAAGTGAAAAAAAAAAATATAATTTTAAAAATGAAGAACTTTAAAAGAAAAGAAAAAAAAAATACTCCATATAAAAATATAAAATAAAGAAATTAAATATTCCAAATAAAAATACCTACAAAAGTTATTTAAAAATATAAGTACTAAATTGTAAAACATAGAAAATACATAATCAAAACTATAAATATGTAGAAAGAATGTTAAAAGAAAAAAAATTAAGTAAATGAACAATAAATAGGGGAAAATAATGCAAGGAAAAAAAACAAAAAAGAATGGAAGTAAAAAAAAAAAAAAAAAAAAAAAAAAAGAAGAAGTGAAAAGTACCCCAAAAATTGAATTAAAAAAAAAAAAAAAAAAAAAAAAAACTAAATATTTCCATAAGAAGTAAAAAAGATAAATAAATAAATAAATATATATATATATATATATTAAATATTAAATATTAAATATATGTGTGTGTGTTGTGCTAAAAAATTATTTGGGAACAAAAATTCTATGACCTGCTTCATGATCACACAACAAATGGGAAAAAGAATCCAGCTTTCCTAGTTTTTATTTCCTCTTCAGTTCTTCCATTTAGTAGAAGATAGGAAAAATAAATATCATTCAAAGTGAAAATGATTTTGTCAAACTATGTGATTAGATGAAGATATTACCACAGTCTGATTAAAATAAAAAAAGTTAACAGAGAAGTATACCTTTTGCCCCATTTGGTTCTTCCAACTTTGACATCCGTGTTCCATCAAATGCAGATGTTGCCTGTTGTATATCAAACAGAATTCAAAACACAAGATCTTTATACAACAATACAAGGATAGAAGAGCTTCTCAGGCTCCCATAGGATAATAGTCATACTGTTTATACAAATCAATAATACTCACAATTCCAAAAGGAAGCTCCTCCCCACTAGCTTGCACTAGACCAGAACATAATCTGTTCAGCTTCAAAAGTGGCCAAGCAAGTGAATCTTTATCAACTTTATTACATTGACTAACATTATAGATCACATCATCCAAAGCATGAAACACGACAGGCAGTGCAACGCGGTTCTCACAGGATCGGCAGCTAAGTATATGTCAATCCTACCATTTATGCCCAAATCACTCTTCAACGATAAAGCTTCAAGTAATTGACTAAAAGATAGCAGCATCTTATTGACAAAATATAGGGAACTATCTGAAACAGAGTTTAAAGATGTTCTCCTGTTTCTAGAAGTAGAAAGAATGCCAAAAAAAACATAATGAATAATAAAAAAGAGAAAATTATCCAAGAGAGAATTTTAAAAACTAAAAAGAATACTTGAAAACGCATGGTCGAAATATTCTGTCAGTTATGTACATGAGTTAGGATTTTACTGATTTCCAAGCATGTGGGTCATTAGTCTCAGACTTGGATGTGTCCTTTGCAGTAGCTGGTTGATTACTGGGACCATGATGCTCTGTCTCTTCTACAGATTTTATTCGCACAGAAGTCCCACCATTCCTGGTACGAGAACCATTGCTTGTAATTGTTTGGGAGATGTATTCAAAGCATGACTGACGTCCTCATAACATACATCTTTTTGGGTGTCCTCAGCCCTCTGATAAAACAAGAGATTGATTATTGCAACTGGTCCATTGTGTTGCACAAAGTGAGCCCCAGAAAATTTACCAGGGAAACCAGCTATTTTTTGGGGCTCACTTTGTGCAACACAATGGACAAATGAACTACATGCCTGGCTTGCCTCATCTGAAGATGCAGTAGCTGCTTTACTCCCAACAGTCTATAACAAAAATCCACAATGAAACATGATGTTAGCACATGAAACAAACTCCAAGAAACTGGGGAACAAAAAATTGTGTAGCCAAAAGCCCCTTCAAGGAAAAGTAGGTTTACTCCATCAGCTCTGCTTCAAAGTCTGATGATTTAGAGAGGCCAAAAAAGAAACCCAATGAAGACATAATAACTTCTTTTAATACTCCAAAATTCCATATAGAGAGACTATAATAACCAAACGAGATTAACTTACCAATTGGTTTTTCAAAGTATGATCACTACTATGCTCAACAACTATAGTAGTTCCTTCCAGTATTGAGGTAACAACTTTACTGTATTCATGCAAAGAGAGATCTAAAGATTTTACAGCTTGTGTCAAGTAAGGCTTTAGTTTCAATGCACCGTCTGCACACACTTTCTCCCCCAACCTTTTACCAATTGGCATAATATCCTGGAAGATAGTAAACAATCAGAAATAGTCAAGGGCTACCCAAAAAAGAATTTAGGAAACAAAGACTAGACCTTGCTGTCCTTTTTCACACTAGCCAATAGCTGGGTAAGCAACTCCACAGATACATCTTCGCTTTCTTCTATTATAAGACTCATTATTGTTGCCATGGATGAGAAGACATCATCTGGATGAGAATCTTCTGTAGGTTGAATTGTAGAGCAAAGAGCAGTTAGAAAACTTCACTTGCATCAGTATGAAACCTCTTTTAGTACCATCATAACTCTTATCTTAAATACAGGCAAAGCTGCAAAAATGAATCAATAAATTATCAACACTTACAGTAATTTTCTTAAATTTATAAAATAAAAAGTAACTAACCAACTCTTGAACCCCCATTGTGCATATAAACAAATTTCAGCTCTCCATAGTGCATTGTTAAAATTTTATGAGATCCGTTTATACAAACCATAAACAAAATTTAGGAAACTGTTCTATGATGTCATTGACAGGAAAGTTTCAACATATACTAGATCCTCTTTTTTGCATAAAGGATATGTTCAAGTAACCATAGGCTTATTGAGAATATAAGTATTCACGTGATTAAAAATGCAAACCAAAAAAATTAATACAAGAAAGGTTCACTAGATCAAATATTTGGAACTTGTATTTTTAGTAATCAAAATAACAACATTAATAAATTTAAGTAAAAAAATAAAAATAAATAAAAAAAACACACACACAAAGGCATCATCATGAGCCAGAAGATGATACCTAATGGTCTTAAAGAAGTGCTGGAACATCTCAATGACACATGACTTAACCAAAAAGCCCAAAAATAAAGAAGCGAAAACAGCCCAAAAATTGCATGAAAACTGGAAAAAGAATACTTGAAAATTTGAAATCTCTAAAACTGCAATTATATTAACAAATTTTTAAAAACCTAGAAGCATCCACCATAAATAGGGAAAATACTCCTTACCCCTTAGAAAGTAAAAGAAATAAAGAATTATATATTCCAATTAAAAATTAAAAATACATATAATAAACTTTGAAAATACACAATGAACTATTTTAAAAAGAACTAAAAATTGCAGTAGCAGAGCAACAACAACAACAACAAGCGCAGACACACACTGAAATCATTTCAAAACGTAAATAAAAAAATTAAAATGCAAAAAACGTAAATATGTATTGAAAACGCCGAAAATAAACCTCATTTAACCTCCAGTTCAACCTGCTCATTTATAAAGACCATAACACCAGATACAATCAACAAGATTGAAGAATACACATCTTTAAATGACCTATTCCACTGCCCCAACCTTAAGAAAAAAACGCTAAGATAAAGGTTCTAAGGAAATAAGGGTTAACATCAGGTTTAGGGCGGAGAGTTTACCACGGTACCGATCCCAGATGCTCCGCCTTCTTCACCACGTCCAGACCATCAACCACCTGCCCGAACACCGCGTGCTCGCTGTTGAGACACTCGGTCTTAGCCGTCCAGATGAAGAACTGCGAGCCGTTGGTGTGGCGCCGGCATTGTCCATGGAGAGAATTCGAGGGCCGGCTTCTTCACGAAATTCTCGTTCCTGAAATTCGTTCCGTTTCCGGCGGTGGAGAAAGGAAAAAGCAAATAGGAACACTGAACAAACACCCCCACCTAAAGAGAGAGTCGGCGAAGACTGGTGAGTGTGATTGAAATTAGAGAGAGACGTACAGAATAAAACTATTTTTTCCGTTTCCGGCGGTGGAGAAAGGAAAAAGCAATGAAGAACACCCTCACCTGGAGAGAGAGAGTCCGCGAAGCCCCCATCTGGCCATCTGGGAGAGAGAGAGAGTCGGCGAAGACAGGTGACTGCTTAGTCTATATCTCTATATGTATAAAATTTGAATCATCCCTTAACGGTAATCTCCCGTGGCTTATTTAATTTGGATTTTTTTTTTTTTTTTTGAGAAATATTTAATTTGGATTTGGATGTTCACTTATGACTTTCTCAAGTCTCTTTTTTTTTTTTTTTTTTTCTGATATTACTCTTCTTCTTCTTCTTCTTCTTTTTTTTTTTTAAAAAAACTAGATATTACTCTTTTTAATTTTATTTTAAACATAACGAAGTTAAATAAACTACTTATTAATCATTTTTCATTATGTTTTCAACAAAAAAAATCATTTTGCATTTTATTTTTTATTGATTTCAAAATAAAATAAAAACAAAAAATTTAGCTTATTTAATTGACTTTATTGTTTTTTATTCCTTTTTTCAATTCAATTTTAATAATATTATCTTTGATAGTGCTATTTGAATTTTTTTTTTTTTGTTTATTTCGTGCAAACAAATTATAATAAAATGACAAATATTATTTACTTCTCTTAAATTTTACCTAATATTTTTCCTCCATAATTTAACTTATATTCATTAGATGTCATAAATTGGTTGGTCCCACATATTTTTCTGGTAATATTTGACCAAAATACTATTTAATTAGTACATATATTTTTTCGTTGAAATTCTAGCAATAATTGACTTAATGATAATAATTATTTAATGATAATAGTGGATGTGACTCAAGAGGTAAATCGTGAGATTGTATCTTAACTGACACACATGCCCTCAAATGAACAAGTGTCCATAACACGCTAGTAACACAAAATAAAGCTATCATCTTATTTTGAGTTGATTGATCAATTGAGAGCTTCTGAGAGCTATTTAAAGTTGTTACTATTGTTACTACAATTATTGTCATTATAGCGAGCCTGAAAATTTTAAATCATAAAAGAATTTGAGTTAGTTAATAAACATCAATCATGCTTGCCCAACAAAGCTTGTTGAAGGTATATAGCTGCTTGAAACACAAACCACCCACTCGTTTACGAGCATATAACCTATCCCAATTCAACCAATGCATACCCCTACTGATAAGTGCTTATTTGTCTATATTTTCCCCCTTTCATTAAGTCATTTTGCTTAAAGATCATTCCAAATTTCATGAGATTATGACTAAATTGTGTTATTTTGCAAAGAGTTTTGGTAGGGAATATCCCGACCGACATAATTTTACCCCGGTTGGTGTGCCTTTGTTTTTGTCTTCTTGTCTTTGCAGGTAACAGGTCGGGCTTCTTGTGAAGAACCCGGTCGGGGTCCGACCGGGAGTTGCCCGAGCGGGAGTGTCGACCACCGAGTGGTAGCCCTTTGGCGAGAGCTGACGAGAGACACGTGGCGGCTCCACGCGTTGACAGGCAGGGCACCCGGGACGGCGACACGTGGTGGCTACGTAGGAAGCATGCCGAATGGCCGGATTTGTGTCTCTGGCGCAGCGGCTATAAATACCCGCGACAGCTACAGTGTGAGGGACTTTTGGACGATCGATAGGTTGTTGTTAGAGATTCCCGACCGCAATCAGTCGGTACTCAGAGCAACCAAGTAGATTGTACTTAGGGCCTTCACCGTGATCAATAAAAGACATTTATTTGCTTTAATTGGTCTCGTATTTATTTAATTACTGCGTACGTGGCAATTAGCAGTATCATTTTGGCGCCGTCTGTGGGGACCCGTACAAGAAAGCTATTGTCTTGACGAGCACCCGATCACTCATTCACCATGTATCCGTGGGCACAAAACCTCTTTGCCGACGACCAGGCGGATGCAGCAAGCTCATCCGACCACCAGGCAACACAACAACAAGGTCAAACGATGGACATCAACCTCAATCTCTCACCACCACATCCATCCAACACATACTCGGCCGCCCAACAGCCGGTGAACTACATTCAACCGGGGTACCCAACACCCGGTCAGCAATATCCACAGCAGCCGATGATGTATCCCGGCCAGTATCCATACCCGGTCTCACCTCAACCGTACGGGTATTGGCCAGGCCAACCGATGTATTACACGCCCCCGGTTGGCTATCCACCTTACACGCCTGCGTACACGACTCCAGCCGCCGCCCCTCCAGTTTACCCGGCCGCACAGGCAGAGGCGCAGCATCAGCCCGCTTCCCGGGCTCGACGCTCGGCTCGTTCGCGGTTGGGGTCGGGGGGTGCTGATGCGATGGAGGCACCACGACAGGCCCAGCAAGCAGCCGAGGTTCCTGCTCAAGCGGAGGACCCCAAAGAAGTTGCCCGAGCGGTAGCTTTCGATCGTCTTCGACCGGCGATGCGACAACGTTTGGGGCCCCAAGACCCGAACCGGCAGCCGGAAGACGTACAGATGCAAGAAGCCAGCCAGGAGGCTTCATCCGGGCATAGCGGGTCGAGATCTCATCGACGACGACGCGCTCGGGACGCAGCCCAAGCTGCCCAAGCCGCCTCAACGAGACCCGAGGATTGCTCTATAATCTCCAAGCGGAGTTTGCGCAATTCATAAACGCGCACCCTGCAACACCCCCGGTCGACCAATCGACCTTGCTTAGGACGCCTTTCACGGCCGAGGTAATGGCTCAGCCCTACCCGCTTGATTTGAAGGTCTCCGGGGAGAAAATTTACGATGACCGTACGGACCCTGAGGTCCATGTTAATGATTTCTACGGCAACATGATGTTGAAGGGTGTATCAGACGCCGTGATGTGTAGGGCTTTTTATTCCACGCTCACCGGTCGGGCGGCGGAGTGGTTCCGGACTTTGCAGCCGGGCTCAATTGCAAATTTTGACGCCTTGGCGATCAAGTTCGTGAGGAAATTCATCACCTCCAAGGTGGTGAGGAAGCCCTACATGTACTTAGAGAAGGCCAAGCAGCTTGAAGGGGAGAGCTTGACCGATTTCCTAGTCAAGTGGAAGGCGGCGGTCGGGGTCAGCAAGGTCGGGAGGAAGGGCGGACAAAACCAGCTGTAGGTCATCTCCTTCAAGAGCTTGCCCTAGTCGTTTCTGGGCCCTCTCGAGCATTTTCCTCTGCCCGGCTTTAAAGGCCCACCGACCGAAAGATAGGATCAGGTCCTCCACGATCTTCGTCCTCCGGGCCGCCGTGAGGAATGCCGAGCCCGTTTCGTCGTCCTTGAAAACCGACTAGGCCAGCTCGTTCGGGTTCTCCAGCCGGGCCTTCAGCTCCGAGGCTTCCCCGATCGCCCGCTGCGCGACCTTATCCGCCAGGACCCTGTCTTCCTCGCTCTTCTTAAGGTCCTTCTGGACCTTCTCCAGCTCGGCCTGGAGGTCCTTGACCTCTTGAAGGCGTCAGGCAACGGTCTTCTTGTTGCGGTCGGCCTCCTCGGCTAGCATGGCCCGACCT